GGAATGAAGAGAGGCGGGACAAGAGTGAAATGAGGGAGACAAACCAGACCAGCGCCGTGTGCGGCAAGAGAGGGCGGGGCCCTGGACTGGAGTGGTCACAGTGGACACGGCGGGCAGTGGCTGGGTTCGGTATACACACTCTGCAGGGACAGATGACAGGGTTTGCTGATGAACCAGGCTGGATCTGGTGGGAGGGGAGAAGGGAAGGGACTCAAGGATCATGCCCCGGTGTGAGCGTTTGCTGACAGGAAGAAGAGAGTAGAATGACAGTCCCAGATATGTTCAGGCTGAGGGGCCTGTGCTACTCCACTGGGAGGCATCAAGTAGATCTCAGACTTGGCAGAGTGGGTAGGAGAGATCGACACTGAAAGTGTAACTTTGGGGGTCATTAGCATAGAAATGGTTTTCAAAGCTGAGGGAATGGATGAGATCACATGAGAAGAGAGAGGAGGACCTACGATGGGGCCATGGTGAACTCCATATTTAATGATTAAGTAAAGGGAGAGGAACACGAAAAACAGAAAGAACAGCTGAAGGGTAGAAAACCAGGGGAGGGGGGTGTTAAGGAAGCCAAGAGAGGAGATGCTTCAAGGAAGGCCAAACACCAGCTGTGGAACAGGATAGGGTAAGGACAGAAAAGTGACCTTTAGGTTTTGTAACACAGAGTTCCATAGGCATCCGCTTAGATAAAAGGAATTTCAGTCTACTGACAGAACTGGAAATCATGCTGAAGTGAGTTAATGAGGAACTGGAAAAATACAACATAAATAGACCTATAATAATTAAATCAGAAGTTAAAAATCTGCACTTCTTCCCTCAACAAATAAAAAACACTACGTTTTTGCTAAGTTCTTTTTTTTTGGTTTTTGCTAAGTTTTATCAGACCTTCACTATATAATTTTTACCTTACACAAACTATAAACTGTTCCAGGGAATACAAAAGAAGGGAAAGATCTCCATTTATCTTATAAGGCTATTAAAACCTTGTTACCAAAATCAGACAAGGATTATTATATGAGAAAGAAAAATACAAGGCTAGCCTCATCTCAGTTCACAGAGGTAGATATTCTAAAAATTAGCAAATTGAATCTAATAATATAAGAAAAAATAATTACACATCATGACCAAGTAGAGCACATGCCAGGAGGCAAAGATGATTTAACATCCAAAAATGTATTAATACTTATTAACATATTAATATAGTAAGGGAGAACAAATATAGTGTTATCTCAATAGATTCAGAATAAGCATCTGATAAAATTCAAAATATACACTCAGTGTATGTATGTACACATACACACACACATGCACACACAGAAGAATATTATTCAGTCATAAAAAAGAATGAAAGCTTGCCATTTGCAATGATGTGGATAGAGCTAGAGAGTATAATCGTAAGTGAAATAAGTCAGAGAAAGGCAAATATCATATGATCTCACTCATATGTGGAATTAAAGAAACAAAACAAATGAACAAAGGAAAAAGAGAGAGAAACCAAGAAACAAACTCTTAACTATAGAGTACAAACAGATGGTTACCAGAGGGGAGGTGGGTCAGGGGATGGGTGAAACAGGTGATTGGTATTAAGAGTACACTTATCCTACAAAAAAAAAAAAAGAGTACACTTATCCTGATGAGCACTGAGTAATGTACCGAATTGTTGAGTCACTATATTATACACCTGAAACTAATATAACACTGTATATTAACTATACTGGAATTAAAATTAAAAACTTAATTTAAATATGGAAAAAAAACCCAAATACACACATTCATGATTAAAAAACAGTAAGCTGGGAATAGAAATTTCCTTTTGCTAATAAAGGATATCTATCCAAACCTGCAATAAATATAATATTTAATGGTGAAAAGTTAGAAGCATTCTCTCTCTCTCTTTTTTTTAAGATTTTATTTATTTATTTGAAAGAGATAGCAAGAGAGAGCATGGGCAGGGTGGAGATGGAGAAGCAGGCTGAGCAGTGGCAGGGAGCGTGACACGGGGCTAGATCCCAGGACCCTGGGATCATACCCGAGCTGAAGGCAGATGCTTAACCAACTGAGCCACCCTAGCGTCCCTAGAAACATTCTCTTTAAAGTCAGGAATAAGACAAAGCTATTCACTATTGCTGCTCCTCTTCCATAATAAAATATGAGAAGAAAAAGTAATAAAAGTAAAAACATAAAGGAAGAAAAAATGCCATCATTCACTAAAATAGTATGATTGTATACAAATAAAATCTAAGAGACTCTAAGACAAACTACTGTAAGTAACGTTAGCAAGGCTGCTATATGTACTCTCAAAATACAAAAATCAGTGGTACTCCTGTATACTAGCCACAAAAAAGTTGGATGCTATAATAAAAAATTTGTAACAGCCACCAAAATGGCAAGCTACCTGGAACTAACTAATAAAAGATGTGTAAGACCCTTTATGAAGAAAATCTTAAAACTTCATTGAGGTATGTTTAAAAAACAGAAAGAAAACATACAAAGAGATACCAAGGGGGCGCCTGGGTGGCTCAGTCAGTTAAGTGCCTGCCTTCGGCTCGGGTCATAATCCCAGGGTCCTGGAATCGAGCCCCACATCAGGCTCCTTGCTCAGCGGGGAGTCTACTTCTCCCTCTCCCTCTGCCCCTCCCCTGGCTCATTCTTTCTCTCTCTCTCTTTCCTCTCTCAAATAAATAAATAAATAAATAAATAAATAAATAAATAAGTAAAATCTTTAAAAAAAGATACCAAGTTCATAGTAAGGAAGACTTGATATTATAAAACTGTCAAATCATATAAATACAATTCGTAAGTCAAGGAAAGCCAAAAGAGTTTTGAAGAACTATAAGTAGGAGCCTCACCCTATCAGATACCAAGAAAATTGGGGGTATCTTCTTTTTCCCTTGCTATGAAGGAACAGGATTTAGGAGTAGCACTCCTGGCTTCTCTCCATCCTCTCCCTCTCTCTGTGAGGAGGGACTTTTCTGATGGGTGAATTTAGGGGTAAAAATAAAACCTGGGTATTCTTGGCTTAGCCGCATCTGGTTTCCTACAGGAGTCTCTGACTGCTCCCCACAGTGTAGTCAAGGGCCTGCCTCTGTGGAAAAGCCTGGAATTCTCGAGTTCACAATGCAACTATGAAGGGAAGTTTTATTTTGAGTGACATTTTTGCAAGCCCTTTTTATTACAGATCTTAAGCCACATTTTCCAAGAGGCTTTATCAGTAATGAAACTGACATTTTGACTTCTATTAGTCTGTCTCTTGTATCTCCTCTCTCCAATGGTTCCAAATTTAGGGGGAGAAGGGATGCTATTTATTGGGCATCCTCAAACCTCAACATGACTTACAGAAATTACAACTTATAATAGTTTAAAAATGTGGTATTAGCCCATAGATAGACAAATCAAAGGAGAATTGGGAGCCTGGAAACAGATTCATGTATATAAGTAAACTTGGTACGTGAAAAAGATGGCATTACCAAATAGTGGACAAAAGATAGACTCTTCAATAAATAATACTGGGACCATTTGCTGTCTGTACTGAGCAAGATTCGTTTAGTGATTAATCAGGTGGTATTATGGGTTGCCTCTTTTTAAAAAAAATATTTTAGGTTATTTATCATTTGCATTATAAAGCCTTTCATGAATTATATGTCTTATTTCCAACTAGATCACAATCCTTTGAGGCTAGGGCTAGAAACTTACACTTCTTGTTAACTCTCCAGAGTGCCTATCACAGAACTTTACACAGAGACAACACTAAGTAAATGTCTGCTAGCTCATTATTATTTTACATTAAAACTCAATTCCTATCCCTCATGCCTCAAAGCATACAGGTCCATATCAGTAATAAGCTTTTGTAGTTATTTTGATATTCTGAGTAGAATTCTTGAAACAATTGTGTATTCACTTAACAGGAGTCCTATCTAAAATCAGACAACCAGAACTTGCATTTTGAGGATCACATAGGACAAAAATAAAAAATGTCAAAGTAAAGGTCAAAGATGTCACTTTCTCAATATTCTCAAGGCCTATCCTTATGGTACAGAAGAAAATGAAACCGATCTTGTACCTTCCTCTCCACAAATAGTTTTTCTGTCTAACCTCTTATTTCATCCTCACCACAAACTGGTGAGATGAACAGGGCAGGGATTATAGATGAGGAAATTCAGTTTCTGAGAGGTTACACTTTAGGCTCACCAAGTGGCTTAGAGAAAGATGTGGGGACGAGGAGCCAGTGGTCTTTAGAAGAAAATACGCTGCTCCCAGCTGTCTAGCTCATAAGGCCTGATTTCCATTTACATGATTTTGTAAGTTACTGCCCATCACCCAAGAATTCAAACTTCAAGAATTCCTAAATGGCTAGAGCCAACAGCTTTCTACTTATTTAGTCAGGTGAACCAATCGAATGTCTTTGCAACAGACCTTCCCTTGCTCCTTCTCTTTTTAAAAGAGTCAGTCTATCCTGACAAAGCATTTTAAAGCAGCAATTTGCCCTCATGGTACAACAGGCACTGACATCAAGCATAAGAAACATTCTAGCATGTGTCTCCTGGTCTCAGACAAGGTCCTGCCAAGCTGACCTATTTGTTGTCTGCTTTCTTCCCTTAACTCTCATGGCCACTGATCCTGATGTTATTTCTGTAGTTATGTCCTTCACTTGTTCTTTGAAGAAGTCCTAGTGGCTCCATGTCTCCCTTTTATGAATCCCACTGGCTGTCCCCCAGTCTCTGCCTCAGCAATGAACTCAAGGATTCCTCGCCCAGCCAACCTCCCAGTGTTCAAACAATACCCCCTCGAACCCACTCTCCTCCTAAGAGTGCTTCACCCTGCTTAGCAGGACTGGGGCTTAGACCCACACATGTACAATGGCTGCCTTTCCCTTTCTTCAAGTATCTTAATAAAGAAGGAAACATAGAAAGCAGGTGAGGAGCAACCTGGAAACCAGGAAAGTTTTCCCAGGATTATTATCCACATCCCAGTTTCTGGGTGTCAGAGATAAAAGTACTCACCACCTGACCATTAGTCCATGTTCCATGAAGTTTTTCAGGTTAGGGAGGGTTTGCCTCAAGTCTGGAGTCCCTAGTCCATGTTGATATCTTAGCTGCAAAGGTGGAAAAATAGAATTAAAAGAAATTCTGGTAGATACTAGGCAATGTTTCTCAAACATGGTCCATTCACTAAATTTTTCTTTCTTCTTTTGAACTCTAAAAGAGGAAATGTAAATATATGATTCCAATATCACTGACCACACTTTTGGGATAGTATTTAAAGGTAGCCTCTTGGGGTGCTTGGGTGGCTCAGTCGGTTAAGTATCTGCCTTTGGCTCAGGTCATGATCTCCGGGTCCTGGGATTGAGCCCTGAGTCAGGCTCCCTGCTCAGCGGGGAGTCTACTTCTCCTCTCCAACCTCTCCCCGCCACGGCCCGCCGGCTCTTGTGTGTGCTCCCTCTCAAATAAATAAAATCTTAAAAAAAAATAAAGGTAGTCTCTTTGTCTCCTGCTCGCCTGTCTCCTAAAGCTGGAGAAGACAATGCATGATCAACTATGGAATCAGCATATTTCAAAGAGCCCCATAGGGTTTGCTAACATCAACTCCAGGGACATATACAGTAAAACCAATATTTTGTTTTATTTTATTTATTTTTTAAAAAAGATTTTGTTTACTTATTTGAGAGAGAGAGAGAGACAGAGATAGAGAGCATGAGCAGGGAGGAGAGGGAGAAGCAGGCTCCCCACGAAGCAGGAAGCCTAACGCAGGGCTCAATCCCAGGACTCTGGGATCATAACCTGAGCTAAAGGCAAATGCTTAACTGACTGAGCCACCCAGGCGCCCCTCAGTATTTTTAGATACTGAATGGCTGGCATTACATACTCTGGGCACATTCAGCCCATCTTTCACTGACCCTTTCCCTTTGTATAACAACCAAGGTTAAGGGTCATGTTGTGTTCATCTCTAATCTCCAACAGTGTCTGACAGTGCTAGCACTCAGTTAATGCTTATTAAACAAACAAACAGCAAGCCACTTTTGAGGATGCTGTGCTCTGTTTTTCTTTTGGATTCCTAACTTTCCCTTTTGTCCAGAACCAGTACATAAAGTTGTAGAGCTGGTATGAGAACACTATGACCTATGGATGGATCTGGTCTTAGTTCTACTTATTTCTGCTTGAGCTGACTTTCTAACCCTAGGTCCTTCTATGTACCTTGAGTAACTCACTAAATGGTTTTCATCCATCTGTTTCTTGCCTTCTCCCACTCTGTCTCTGAATACCATTTGCTTCCTTAACTGGTCATGACAGAGACCCGAGGTAAATATATGTGCATATTCATACACATGCTCTCTCTCTTACACACAGAACATCAACTACACAGTAAAGGTACAGCAGAAATGTATTTTTCAAATGACATATATGAAAAAAGTACTCTGTAAACTGTGTACTGGTGTACAAACATGAAGGATAATCACTCGTGAAGTTTTACTTTTCCAGCACCTAAATTTAAAGTTTGACAAAGTCAAACTTCTAAATATTTTCCTCTCTTAAAAAATAAAACCACTATGAACAAAAAATATCAAAGTTTTCTTTTGTTTGTATCTAGTACTCAACTTATTTTTTTTTACTTAAGCGTGAGTGACACTTAACAGAGAAAGAGTTTATTCTTTTTTTTTTAAATTAACATATAATGTATTATTTGTTTCAGGGGTACAGGTCTGAGATTCGTCAGTCCTACCCAATTCACAGCGCTCACCATAGCACATACCCTCCCCAATGTCCATCACCCAGCCACCCCATCCCTCCCACCCCCCTCCACTCCAGCAACCCTCAGTTTGTTTCCTGAGGTTAAGAGTCCAAAGAGTTTACTCTTACTACCCTGAACTTTTAAAGGAAAACCCCCAAACCTAATCAGATCTCTTGAATGGTCTGAATACACACATAAAGTAAGAAGTAGGAAACACAGAATGTTAAAGCTAAAATGTATTTTGAAAATTATTTAAGCTAATTCTTTCCTTTTGCAGGTGGGGAAACTGAAGCCCAGAAAGAGGAAATAAATTCTCCAGGGCCGCATGTTTCAATAACAAAGATATTATTAGCTAGAGCCTAATTCTCACAACCATGCTATTCCACCATCTACCCCAAAGTCTGAGAGGAAAATTGGTTGAAATACTTGAGAAGACAAAGGGAAAATATTCTTTTCCCTTTCCAAAGCTAGCTTGGTGACCTAAATCACCTCCTGAGATTTGCTGACCTTGAATTATAAGATCTACTCCATATTAAATGACATCATTTCTTATATTATTAATATAAAAGCATTTTTTCCATACATTGATAAAAGTAAAATGGCTGATATCCCAATATGACATTCCTGAATTCATTGTTTCAATAAAATAGTGAAATTGTTTACACATGGCATGGAAATTTCACCTGTGATTCATACTGAAAAATATTAAATATATATAAAAAAAAAACCTAACCCATACTGAAATAACACTAAGCTATGTGTCCCTGAGCCAGTACATAGTCAATTGCCTGCCCCAGGCTCCACAATGGAAGGTAGGTGTTGAATTCTTTTCAGAGACCACAATGAAAAATTTTCTTCAAGTCTGATTTCAACCAAAAAAGGACAATATGGGAATTTCAAGCCTCTAGCCAGGTCTTAACTCTTCATTTGCTATATAGCATTATCATTTTTATCATAGAATCATATGATATTACAGCTTAAAGAAATCCTGGAGATCATTTTTCCAACCTCCTTCCTTTCATAAATGAAGAAACAAAGGCTCAGTAAGGCAAGTGTCCTGCCCAATGTCACAGAACTGACAAGGGACAAAGCCAAGGCTGGAATATTTTTAAATTTTTATTTATTTTTTAAATCCAAGTATAATTAACATAGATTCACCATTCATCATGTATAATGATTCAACAATTCTGCACATCACTCAGTGCTCATCACAATAAGTGTACTCTTAGTCCCCATCGCCTGTTTTACCCATTTCCCCTCCCACCTCCCCTCTGGGAACCATCAGTTTGTTCTCTGTATCTCAGAGTCTGTTTTTGGTCTCTTTTTTTCTTTATTTGTTTTGTTTCTTAAATTCCACATATGAGGGAAGTCATATGGTATCTTTCTCTTACTGACTTATTTCACTTAGCATTATATCCTCTAGGTCTATGCATGTTGTTGCAAATGACAAGATTTCATTCCTTTTTATGGCTGGGGTAATATCCCATTTTGTGTGTGTGTGTGTGTGTGTGTGTATCACATCTTCTTATATTCCACTGCATGTATATATACATGCAATATTTATATATATCACATCTTCTTTATCCATTCATCTATGGATGGACACTTGAGCTGCCTTCATATCTTGGCTATTGTAAATAATGTTTCAATAAACAAATAAACATGGGGTGCATATATCCTTTCAAGTTACTATTTTTGTTTTCTTTGGAATAAATACCCAGGAGTGGAATTACTGGATAATATGGTATTCCTATTTTTAATTTTTTGAGGAAACTCCATTACTGTTTTCCATAGTGGTTGCACCAGTTTACATTCTCACCAACAGTGCATAAGGGTCCTTTTTCTCCACATCCTCACCAACACCGGTTGTTTCTAGTGTTTTTGATTTTATAGGGCTAGAATTTTTCTTTCTTTTTTTTTTAATTTTTTAATTTTGAATTTTTGAAATTTTTTAGAATTTCTTTAACATTTTATTTATTTATTTGACACAGAGAGAGATAGTGAGAGAGGGAACGCAAGCAGGGGGAGGGGCAGAGAGAGAAGCAGGCTTCCCGCTGAGCAGGAGCCCGATGCAGGGCTTGATCTCAGAATTTTTTAGAATTTCTTAAAAACAACTCCAAATTTTTCTACCATGTCACCCTTTTGATTTTTAACATATAAAACCAAAAAAATTCACACATAATACATATATATTACATTTTAAAAATAAAGTACACGTACTCTTTAATAAGCCTAAATTGCTATAGGCTTATAATGAAAAAACAAATTCTTTGCTCTTCAGTAGCAACTACTTTTAGCTGTTTCTTCTTTACCTTCATATTTCTAAGTAATATGCTTGTATTAACTTTCCTATTCTTTCCTATTCTTCCCAGTTTTAGATATCTATTGTGTTCCTATTACAGAAAATTCTGATGGTGTCTGAAGTCAAACTTGGCTAAGAGGGTGTCAAATATTTATGTATTCACTTGAGGGGTAGGTTTGATGGAAGAGTCTACAGAAGGTACCTTTCTGGACACCTGAGGGGAAATGCATAAAATGGAAGGGATAGGACGGGCTTCAATCTTTTCTTATTTTAAAGTTTTTATTTATTTATTTATTTATTTGAGAGAGAGTGAGCGAGAGAGAGAGGAGAGGGAGAGGGACAAGCAGACTCTGCTGAGCACAGAGCCCAACACGGGGCTTGATTCCACGTCCCTGAGATCATGACCTGAGCTGAAATCAAGAGTCCTTAACCCACTGAGCCACCCAGGCACCCCGGGGTTCAGTCTTATATGCTATACTATGTCAGGTAGAGCTGAGCCACTATTAAAATGTAAATACTTCAGGAAAGAAACAAATCTAGATTTTTATTAAGTAATTCTTGAACAAGTTAACTCTGGTGATGTATTAGTAGAAACAGGAAGAAACAGGAGTTAGGCTGAGGAGGAAAAGCCAAGGACAGGGCAGAGGGAGAAAGAAGTACATTTACTAAGTTCCTACACATTCTGTTCTTTTATCCAACAAGTATTTATTTAGTGTCCACTAGGGTAGGCACTATAAATCAGCTCTGTCTCTGGAATGACAGGTCTGGACTCACAGTTTGTTCTCACCACGTAATGTATGTTAATCTTGAACAAGTCACATAACCAATCTGTGCCTTGTCTATAGAACATGACCAGCACTATTTGTCTCATAAGATTGTTCCAAGAGTTCGGTTAGGGTATTTATAGAGAATGGAAACTCCTGAGGCCTGATGTTTAGAGAGCAGCCATTAAAACTGTTGAAGGCCTAGAGCACTAAGCTCAGGAGTTCAGACTTTATCTTCCTTGTCAGCAGTGAGAATCTACTACAGGGTTTTAAGCAGGAGACTGAACGAGGAAAACAACT